ATTCTTTTGTCGATTATTTATCCAAGTATTGTCTGTAACTGTATCAAAATTTTATGAGACAGATTTGAAATTTTTTTAAATACAAGCAAATACTATGATTTGTGTAAAGTGTAAGGAAACAGATGTTTTCAGTTACATAAAGTTATCAAGGAAGAAGAAGAATTTTAGCAAATTTGTTTTATATTTTGAGGCTGTCTTTCATCTGGGAAGAATCTTGATTAGGCAAAAATGTCTTACTTTTTCACTCCTTTGTCAACTATAAATCCTAGCAGAGATAGTAACCTGTGTTTGCCTGGCACCTCAACCTACTAACCCATGCATCATTTGTTCATTTTAGTATGGCAGAGGATGTTAGGGTTAAACAAGAAGCCTGGGGTCTTGTCTCCTTTGTTAAGACATTGCTTTGCAGATAGATGTAAGGATGCATGCTATATATTTGTACTTTTAAATGTATATTGTGCACATAGACTGTTTCTGGTGTTTGAGCATTATTATAACTCAATAAGGTGTGTTCCTACATGCTGTATAAGCTTTCTATTTGCTTTGTTTTCCTGTAGCTTCTCAGCAAAAGAGCAAGTGGGACTGACAGATAATGCCCTGCTTTGTGGTTGATGTACGTGGTGCAGAGAGCTTTTCATAGAGAACATTTCTCCCTTGTGACACGCAGTGCAGTCCCAGGCGTGGGTGTGTTCTCCTGCACATTAACTTTCTCAGTGTTTGTCAGGGTCGCTCCTGGAGTCTTACTCAATGTCCAGGTTTGGTAGAGTTCATTCAATACTTCTGAAGTCCTTTGTAGATATTTCAGAGAATTGGGACGTTGTTATTTTTTAACCTATGCTATCTAGCATTGTAGTAAAAAAGACCCTTCTCTTCAAATAAAGATAAGGTGACCAAATCTGAGATTGTAATGTAGCGCTGTTCAGTCTTACACGTGAAAATGTAGTTCTTAGTGTTTCCCAGCTGTATGGTGAGCATTGTTGATGTGTAATAGTTACTCAGTGCGTATTAAATGTCTGTTCAGGAATTCTAATTTGCTGCTTCACAATTTGTGTGCCTGTCGAGGCCCCAAACATATGTTGTAGTGTTGTGATTTTTTTCAAACTTTCGAATGATAAAGCAGTACATTCAGTTCTTAGGAGTGGGCACATCTTAAATGTCAAGCGTATGAAACAGTTCTGAAATAGAGAATTTTTGGTTTTAGAAGGCATTTGACCCATGTGTGCAGTTATTGAAGTAAAATATTTGTACTTGGCTAGCTTCTCTTCACTAAATGTCATGGTTCAGACCTCCCTTTGACTAGAGATGTAGGGACTGAGTCCTGCTATTAAATAAGCAGTTAATATTCAATGTACTTGGTGGTTACTATATTGAAATTGTCATCTTTTTTTGTAACAGATTTGTGTTTGAAAAGCTCAAATGTGGGGCTTTTCAATACATACAACTCACTTCTAGTTTTCTTGTCATTCCATCTAGTGTTTACTGATGCCCTTGGTGAGCCCGTTGCTGTAGACACCAACAGAGTGACCAGAGGCTGGTGTCAGTGAGTGAGAGCCCTCTCCCCTCCTGACGCAGCTCTCAGGCAGGCTCTGTATGTCCCCATGGTATCAGGCTCAGGTTGTCATTTTTACACTCGCTGAATGGCCTTTCAGGACGTCGCCCCCAGAGGCCTCATTCCAGATTGTCATGGTTTAGTTCTTCTCATTCTCATGAAAGTCCTGTCATCAGTAGTGATGCATGGCATCTTCATGGAGTAGTAGATAATCCTGTGACTACTAATTTTCATGCACCCCTTTCCCCGTTCCACAGAGGCTAGAAAGTCACAGGTACATCACTGTGGAGGCATTTGGTGCCCTCAAGGTAGGAGCTAACACATCGAGAACACAGGCAGTGGGCTGGCGTTTGGAGGCACGAGGAACATGAGTAGGGCCAGAAGCCTAGCCTTTCTGAAGCATCTTACTGACTTCTTTCTGCAGGAGAAGCCCTGGCGACCCTTCTCTGTTGTTTTGTTTGCATGGGATCTGCCTATAAAAGACCAGCCCTGAAGACCGTGTGTGTGTAGGAGAGGTATAAAGTGAGGCTGGATGGCCATTTGGTGTGCAGACCTGTTCTATAGATTGATTAGGGGGAAATCCCCACCCCACACCCAGCCCCTGTGGCTAGTGTCTCTACACTGTTCTTTACATTTTTTACCCTGTCATTAGAGTTGTCTTTTCTGAAGGACCCTTTCTAAGCATCTTCAGTGTTCTGTGTTGCCCTCAGTATAGACAGGTCTGCCTGATGTGGTAGTCCAGGTGCAGGGTGGCCTCCTGAATACACCTGTCTACCTTTGTATGTCCTGGCTACAGGAGACTGCTAAATATTGCCCCCCAAACATTCTGATGGAGGTTTTTGGTCTTTGAAGCAAAATACTTGTTTTTCATTTTACTGTTTTTTTTTACAACCATGCCAAAATTTAATTGGTAAGTCCAATTACAATCTATGTGTGTATTAAAAGGTGTGTAAATATGGAGGCATTTAAGTATATATGTAATAAGTGCAAATATCTCAGAAGCTGCTCATTACCACAAAATGTAACATGAGGTAAGCTCTTCCTGTGAGATACGTTCTCTGTGTGTATAGCAATGTGCACTCATCCACACTCACCAGACTCATCTGATAAGGAGCTGGACTTTAATGGATAGCCAGTGTCTCTCCAAAGGCTTCAGTCTAGGCTACAAAAGTGAGTCTGTGGGAACTGAGGCACCTCACCCAGAACACTTTAAGCTTCAGTACATAAAGAATTTAGGTGTTTGGTCAGTTAACCAGGTTAGAGAACAAAGGATTATCATTTGTGTTTACCACGCACTTAATGTACATTACATCATGTGATTCTCAGAAACCTCCACAGGATAGGTAGGGTTTCATTGGTGAGAAAAGAAGGGTTAGAAAGTTTGTTTGCCTAAGCTGTGAAGCCTGTGAGACCCTCTCACTGCCAGGCACTCCCTGGAGTGTGGCGTCTGCGCAACCGTGTTCATTGGGGTTTTGTTAGCTGTGGCTTCTTTCATCGGTGATGATTCTCCAGATGGTTGACCATTTACCCTCACATTAGAGAAACAAAACTGGGTGTCATTCCTCCTGGGATTTTTGTGTCCTTTTTCTTCTTTCTCTGACGTCTTTCTATTTAATCACCCCTGTAGCCATGAAAATAACATTTAGTTTCCTGTAATTTGTGCTTGTTTTTGTTGTTGTTTGTTTTTTTAAGGGTTATAAGGCGTGTAATTGTGTATGCATCGATCCTAAACCGATTAGAAAACAAGTGCCTGCGTAATACAAGGAAGGAAATGAAGTTCTTCATAGCATGAGGCTTCATACCTCTAATCTATTATTTTCCCACTTACAAATAGTTGTGGTTCTGCATGCTTCACAATCATGGGTTTCAGTCTTTGAGTATGGGTGCAGTAACAAGGTCAGGGGTAGCAACTGAGGTCGTCTGAGATGGTGTGTGCCTAAGTTTCCAAGTCCTTTCATTGACTTAGTGTTTTAATCCTCTCAGTAACCCTAGGAGCCAATAATGTCTTCATCTCCATTGTATAGATGAGAAAAAATCAAGTTGAAGAAAAGACGGGAAATTTATTTAAAGCTAGGATACTGCAGTGTCTTGGCAGCTTTGAGTCTGAATGACTTTGAATTTATGTTGTTACTAAGTTTAATAAAAATGCTGTCTCCTTCTTTGACAGGTGGACTCTTATTCTTTGGGGGAGTAGTTACAGAGTATCGTCAGGATGAGAATGACTAAGCTTAGTAGCGTTATATGGAAGTCACTTGAATTACTGAGGCATCATTAAGAAACTAAGCAGGTCTTAATTTATTGTTAAGAACATTTGCAATTATGAAAATATGGATACAAAAAGGTGCTTGTGTGTTTTGTTTTGTTTTCTTCCTGTGACATGTACCTGAGAAAGCAATGTAAAAAGAGCAAGCATTTGTTGTGGTTCACAGAGGTTTTGGTACACAGTAGAGGGCTCTGGGCTTGTGGGAGGCAGACACTGAGACAGAAGGGCCTGTGGGAGTAGGGAGGGAGGCTAGGGAGAGAGAGGAATGCATCTCTTTTCCAATGTACATCCCTCCATCCAAGCAGGTCCCAGCTTTCATAATCCTGCACCTCCCAATGGTCGACTGAGGTTTTCAATTCTTCTGTTGATCATTTCATTGATGTAGGCAGAACCCCCATGATCTAGTCTTTTCTTGGAAGCTCCACCTCTGAAAATGGCTTTGTTGGGAACCTAGCCTTTAACATGTGAGCCTTTTTGGGGAGTGCTTTGTGTCCAAATCATAATAGTGCTTCTATTTGCTCTGTGGAATGTGATTGAAACAGACAATTTTGTGTCTAAATGCTGGCTAGTGAAATAATGTTGTGGGTTACAGTGATAAAGGGACTTTGAAAGGCTTAGCTGGCATGTTGATTGGGAAGGCAGACATCTTTTCTTGTTAGCAAGTAGTAATACTGGGTTTTAAAACTATGTTTTGCAGCAAGAAAATTTGAATTAATACAAACAATTATTCTAAGGTTGGGGAAATATTGTTGACTAAAAATGATATTAATATGCTTTAATGACTGACTTACAGTTTCTATTGTTGTGAAGAGACGCCATGACCACAGCAACACTTATAAGGGAAAAATATTTAATTGTGGTGGCTTATATTTTCTGAGGGTTGGTCCACTATCATCATGGTGTGACATGGTGGCATGCAGGCAGATATGGTGCTGGAGAAGGAGTTGGGAGCCCTACATCCTGACTTTCAGGCAACGGGAAGTGGTCTGAGACACTGGGTGTGGCTTGAGCATGTTTGAGAACACAAAGCCCACCTCCACAGTGACATACTTCTTCCAACAAAGCCACACCTTCTAATAGTGCCACTCCTTATGTGATTATGGGGGCCAATTACATTCAAACTACCATAGAGACTTTTTGTTAAGCTTGGTAATCTCCCCTTTCCTTTTTTATTTTCCTTTTTTAAAGCTTCTCACCAAAGGACATGGATGAAAATGAAAACAGCCAGTCTCCAACAACAAGCTATCAATATCCTAAAGAAACAGTAAGGAAGCGCCAAAATTCAGTACAGAATTCAGGAGGAAGTCTGTCTTCTAGGTTTTCCAGGAAAAGCTTCAAACTGGATTATAGACTAGAAGAAGATGTAACTAAATCGAAGAAAGGAAAAGATGGGAGATTTGTTAACCCATGGCCAACATGGAAAAACATCTCTATCTCAAATATTCTTAGATGGCTGATAATGGAGAAAAACCACAGCAGTATTCCAGGTTCCAAAGAGGTAGGCAGCTTTGTGTATACTTTTAATACATATATATGACTTAGTTTTTTTAATGAGGCATGACCCTCTATTTAGAGATTTGAACTGTTTCTATATGGAGAGACATAATGGTAAGTTTGAAGAGACAAATGAATTCTATGACCCCTGTCCTCATGTTCCTAGTTTAGCAGCACAGGGCATGTGTAAATAATCCCTTGCAGTCTGGGCCAGAGGCTGGGGTAAAGTGCTTTAGAAGCAGAGGGGTAGACGTGGTCAGTTCTGACTGAAAGAGGTTGTCGGGAGTATGTGTGCTGGACCTAGAGAGCTATTTTGCAGTGGTTCTCTAGTCAGATGATCACACGAACCTTGTTCTAAAAGTGAGAAGGTGCATGGTGTGCTCCAGAAAGTAACAGGCTGATAAGAATTTGGAATATGCATTCTGAAAAGTAAGGCATGACCTAAAGTGTGCCTTTGATCTTTGGGCTCAGCCACCAGTGCTATGAAAGAAATCTTTTTGATGTCCCTTGCAGAGCTACAAAGGTTGACTATAGTTTATTAGCCTTCAACTGAGGCAGCTTCACTAAGGATGTGGTTTGTTACCCTTTAGCTTAGAGAATACTAGAAGAGTCAGATGTGTTTCGGCAGGGCAGCATAAGTAGGTTATGGTTCCTATTACGGTGCATCTTCTTTTCAGTTTCTTAGTTTCCCCTGTTCTACCTATCATCTTCCTTGCCTCCAGTCCTGCCTGGCTTTTGGGGAGCTAGGGGCAAGGTGTCTGACTTTGAGTTGAGGAATGGTGTGAAAAGACCAGGGGCATTCCTGAAGGCTTTGGTCTACAATGGGAAGAGGTAAGGGGCTGTGGGGGTAGAGGTTGATTTTCGTGTTAGATCTTCTTGGCAAATGCTGTCTGTTTTTCTTTAAAGGACTTAGTATTGAAAATCTTACATCATGCTGAGTGTGGTAGTGCACACCTTTAATGCTAGTATTTAGGTAGCAGTGGCTAGTGTATCTCTGTGAGTTCAAGGCCCTCTTGATCTACATAGTGAGTTCTGGGACATCTGAGGCTACACAGAAAGACCCAGTCTCAAAAAAGGGGGGTGGTGAAGAAAAGAACTCTTCTATCATTTTCATGCTAGAAATACTCATAGCAATCTCTATATAGCATATATATTTGTATATGTGTGCATTTACACACACATATATGTATATATTTGCTGTGCTGGAGATTAAACCTAGAGCCCAATAAAAATTTTTTGTTGTTTTTTGTTTATTGAGACAGGCTAGTTTCATACTTGTAAACTCTATAGGATTATTAGGTATGTTCTACCATGCCTGGCCTCAATATTGTTTTTTAACGACCTTTTAGAATTAGGTTAGACATTAATAGATAACATTTATATGTGGAAAGTTTAAAAAATATTTATGTATTTATTTGTTTGTTTGTTTATGAGTCCTCTGTCTGCATGTATGACTTTATGCCAGAAGAGGGCATCAGATTCCACTATAGATGGTTGTGAGCCACCATGTGGGTGCTGGGAATTGAACTCAGGACATCTGGAGGAGCAGCCAGTGCTCTCGGCCCCTGAGCCGTCTCTCCAGCACCTATATGTGGAGAGTTTTAGGATGAGGCAAGGAACAAGAAAAGTGTCTTGTTTGTTTGTTTGTGAGACTTAGGCTCCCTATGTAATTCAGTCTGCCCTGGAACCTACTTATTGCCCACACTAGTCTTGAACTTGTGCTCTTCCAGCCTTGTTTCCTGAGTGCTGGGATCACAGGTGTGCACCACCACACCTGGCCTTTTCTTTTTTTCTTGGTGAAGTGAACTTCATCTGTAGAGAAACAGAGTTAAACTAGGAGGAGAGGGATTAGGGGTATAAGGTCAGGGTAGGTGAGCTATGTGGTTTTGTTTGTTATGTAAATTTCTTCCTAGTTTTGAGCCACAGCTTCTAAAAACAGAGGTTAGTGATAGGTTCAGCATTGTTTCATTTCAGGGTAAGTGGCTGGATGAAGGTAGAATTATATCTTTTCATTCTAACAATTTGGGAGAGTCTAAAAACTGGGTTGATTGAGGACCTGCCAGGCCAGTGGTTTTTAAGGTAACATTTGTCCCTTCTGAGAAACTAACCAAAGCTGTAGAGGAATACACACAGGAAGATAAGAACATTGCCATTGTCTTATCATCTGTCCTTACACTCATTCATTTAGCTAGTGTTTACTGAGCATGTCTATGTGCTGGACACACTATTATGTGCTAAAGAGTGAATAAACAAAGTCAGTAAGTCACTGTGGAGAATTAAAATGTGAGTGTGCTGGTTGGTGGTGCACTACATGAATTCCAGCACTCCGGAGGCAGAGGCAGACTGGTCTACATAGTGAGTTCCAGGACAGCCAGGACTATATAGAGAAACCCTGTCTCCAGAAAAACAAAACAAAACAAAGCAACCAACCAAACAGACAGAACCAGACCATAAGTATAACCGTGAATAGGGCAGAGGGTGGAAGCGGTGTGGCTGCATTTGTCAGTGAAGCTTGTCTTTTAAAGGCAGGGCGTTAGAAAGATTCCAAGGGGGACTCAGATCTTTGAATATGCCGGTAAAAACAATTCAGTATAATCTGAAAGAAAAGCACTATTCCAGTATATATTTTCTTTCTTCTTTTTTTGTTGTGTTTTTTTCTTATCGAGACAGGGTTTCTCTGTGTAGCGCTGGCTGTCCTGGAGCTCACTCTGTAGACCAGGCTGTCCTAGAACTCAGAAACTGGCCTGCCTCTGCCTCCAAGTGCTGGAATTAAAGGCGTGCGCCACCACCACCGGGCTCTAGTTTGCATTTACATTTATGACCTCTTCCCTGTCTTTTTTCCTCCTTTCCTTCAGCGACAGTGCATGTGACTTCCTGTGTTTATTTCAGGGTTAGCTAACTTTGTGGGTAAACAGTTGCTGGAAGGTTGAGCTTTGCCCAAGGGTGGCAGTTACAGCTCCCCAAAGCCTGAAACAAAACCAGGCCAAGTAGGTGAGGAACTAAGAGCGGAGGCCAACCGGATCAACCCGGACTTTAATCAGACCTTGGGAAGCTGTTTTCTTAGACGTTGAGAGGCCAGCAATTGATGAGAAGACCACAGTCATAAGTCATTACTGTGAAAAGAAAATAATATTTGCACAGAATAATTATATGCTATTTTATCATTATAGTATACTGCATTTGTTTACCTATATATATGAAAGTGCTGTAGAAGAAACATATGATTAATGTATACATTAATTGACAGGTCTGAATAAAGTGGGTCATGAGCAGGAAGCATAGTTTAGTTGCATGGTGAGAAAGAGGTTCTTTCCTGGGCCCTTCCTGGTGTCTCTCACAACATCAGGGCAGTGTGTCAGCTCAGGGGCCACGCATGGCTCACAGGCTGCTGTTTCTCTGTACTGTTGTTGCCTCTGTGACCTTGTCTGATTGTTATTGATTCATGGTCACTGATAGAGAGGAGAAAAAAATTAACACTTGGCAGCAGTTTAAGGAGGGAAGGGACAGACACTTTTTGAGCTTCATTTGTTGGAGGAGGCTGTCAAACGAGAACAGCATAGCTGGGTAAAAACTGGGACTCCAGGAGTTTGGGAGCCAGTTTTATGCTTCTCACTGACTGTGTGACCGTTTTTCTATGCCAGTTTCCTGAGATACTCTGCTGTAGTTTAATTTCCACTTGAGCTCCACAGCTCACGTGTTAAAGGCTTATTCCTCAGCTGATGCTACGGGAAGTGGTTGAAACACCCAGAGGCAGGGCTAAGCGGGGAGGTCTTCTGGCAGTTGCTGGTGTGCCCGTGAAGGTGATAGTAGACTCTCATCCCTTCCTCTTCGTTTTCATTTCTGGGCCGGGAGGTAAGGGCCTGCTGTGTTGGAAGTTCCCTGCCATCATGTGCTGTTCCTCAGAGGCCCCACAGCAACAGAGGCAACTGAAACCTCCAAAACTACTTTCTAAAATTTCACCATGGCATCTGCTTCTTATTTATTACTGTCATCAGTGCCTAGTAGGTGTTTTCAGTCTGAAAATATGTTCTTTTCAGTTATAGGAAATTTCCTTATCTACAGTTGTAGGAAATTTCTTTATCTACTCAATAGAAAATTCTATCCATCCTTTCGTTCCAACATGACTAGGTAGCCTTTGTGTTCTGTGGGTATAAAACCAGAATTCCGCCGGGCCTTGGTGGCACACACCTTTAATCCCAGCACTCGGGAGGCAGAGGCAGGTAGATCTCTGTGAGTTCGAGGCCAGCCTGGTCTACAAAGTGAGTTCCAGGACAGCCTCCAAAGCTACAGAGAAACCCTGTCTCGAAAAAAACCAAAAACCAACCAAACAAACAAACAAAAAAACCCAGAATTCCAGTACAACCAAAGACTACAGATCCCAAGAGTTGCCTATAATAGGATTTAGCATGAATGTTTAAAATGGCACATTGTCTAACAGTTTTTTGGACCACAGAAGGTTCCCCATGAAAGTCTTTCCCTGTAGATTTGATGATGAGAGCATTATTTACTTTCAGCAACAAATCACCAAATCACTGGGTGATTTGCATCCCCTGCAAAACAACCTGTAGCTTACTGCCACTCCCCAGGATCAAAGACATCTGTAGACCTCAAAACAACTATGTTGCAGTCTTGGGAAGGATGGGAGAGTAGATAATTTGACCAAGAAGCACCATTTCAGTGTGGCATTTTATTTACTTTTAATGTGAGTTAATATCATTCCAAGGAGGTAAAGGTTTAGTGGAAAGAAGTGATTTAAGTGAGGAAGATCTGACCTCTTAAGTAGAACACCTGTCTGTTGTGTGGGCTGCAAGTTCAGTGACTCCTCTCTGCTTTGGCCTGTCAGCCGCTAAGGTGGCTGAAATGCCTGTCATGGTGTTAAATCACAGAGTGTATGTGCTGGCTTGAATGGCTCCCATAGGCTCATGTATTTGAATGCTTGGTCTCAGTTAGTGGAAATGTTTGGGAAGGATTAGGAGGTGTGGCCTTGTTGGAGGAGGAGTGTCTCTGGGGGAAAGCTTTGAGGTTTCAAAAGCCCAGCCATTTCTAGTTACTTCTTCGTCTCTCTCAGTCTTATTTTTGCTGATAAGGATGTAAACTCTCAGCCACTGCTCCAGTGTCACACCTGCCTGTCTGCTGCCATGCTCTCCCTATGGTGGTCACGAACTACCTGCCCCTGAACCCTGTAAGCCCAATAAACTCTTCCTCAAGTTGCCTTGGTTGTGGTGTTTTGTCATGGCAGTAGGAGACAGTGTGCTTAGCATCACCTGACTCAAGGTAAACACGAGCTGGCACAGCAAACATTTGTATTTTTCCCTTTTCTCAAGAGAAGTAATAATCTGCTTTTTAATTATAGGCCTTATGATTTTTCCTTTTGCCGTTTCAATGAAGGAAAATTAGCCAAGGCAATCTTAACCTACCCAAAGAAACAAACAAAACCCTTACTTTCTTTAAGAAATGAAGAATTCCTTGTCTCCTCTCCCTCCTTCCCTCCTGCTCTACATGCTTTTTCAAGCTCTGGCGATTGGGACAGAGGGTTTATAGATCATTCATTCCTTTTCTGGTATTGTGTACCTGTGTGTGTGCATATGTGCAGATGTGTGTGGGGTCCAGAGGCTGACACTGGCTATCTTCCTGAGTCACTCTCTCCCTGAGTTTGAAACAGAGTCTATCCTTGCACCTGATTTGGGTAGGCTGGCTGACCAGTGGGCTTCAGGAACCTTCCATTCTCTCCTACAGTGCTGGAGTTGCAGCTGTTCAGGGATCCTCCATTCTCTCCTACAGTGCCGTGGTTACAGCCGTTCAGGGATCCTCCATTCTCTTCTACAGTGCTGGAGTTGCAGCTGTGACATGCAACATTCGTGTGAATGTGGCATCAGAACTCAGTTTTTCACCTTACCAATGCAGTCATCGCCAAATCCCTGATTTTGTCTCTGGTTGCTCAGAGGTGGCTACGTTGTTTGAGTTCCCAAGTAAACTCCAGGGAGCAAACTTGTGAAGATGAGTGAGAGGAAGCGGAGCGTGCGGAGGATGCAGAAGAGTCAGCTCCCGTCCGTCACTGCGATGCAACACCACCAAGGCAGCTTATGCAAGGAAAGATTTGCTTGGGCCCGCGGTGCAGAGGGTCCGTCATAGCGGAGAATCATGGCCACAGGAAAGCCTGAGACCTCATCTCTTCAGCTGCAGGCGAAAGCAGAGAGAACTGGGAATGGTGCCAGGCTTGGAAACCTCAAAGCCCAGCCCCAGTGTCACAGTTCCTTCCCCAAGGCCACATCTCCTAAACCTACCCAAGCTGTGCCACCAGCCAGGAAGCACGTACCAGACACCTGAGCCTGTGGGGTGAATCTCATTCAGGCACACAACAAAGAGTGCTCACACGGAGTCACTGCCTTTGTTGTTGGTGTTGGTTTTGTTTTTCCTTTTTCAAGTAGGGTTTTTCTGTGTGGCCTTGGCTATCCTGAAACTCACTTTGTAGATCATGCTAACCTCAAACTCCCAGATATCTGCCTGCCTTTGCTCCCTAAGGGTTAAAGGTGTGCACTCCCTAAAAAGCCTTATTGGCATTACTTTTCGTACTACACAACTGACCCATTAGACATACAATTTAGTGGGTTTTGGTATATTTACACACGTGTGCAACTACACAAATCATTCCTGTTATTTCCAAATATAATGCCCATGTCCTTCAGTCATCACTGTCCAACCCTGCCTCTCTTGCCCTCCTCTGCTCCTGGGAACTACTTGTCTACATTGTTGTCTTTGTTTGACCTTGCTGGTCAGTTTGAGGCTGCTAAGAATGCTCAGTTGTGGGCTTGATTCTTCAGTAGCCATTCCGATAATGCCAAATGCCAAGCTTCACATGGCTTTTAAACTTAGAGCAAAACCAAAGTGCATTTGCTTCCAGTGGCTATTGTTTCCAGGTTTTTCAGTTGACACACTGTTTATTGTGGTTCTGCTCAAACATTCCGAAATAGTTTGTTAGCGTAATGTGAGTTCCACATATTTCTGTGTATAATTTGCTGAGTTTTATTTTAACATTGACATATGGTGCAGAGCAGATCACCTCTCCTCACTCTTATTCTGCAAGCTCTCATTTTACAAAGATTAAGTGCGAACGGGGGCGGGTAGCTTAGTAGTTGGCCACATGTGTGGTGTGCATGAGGCCCTCAGTTTGGTGTTGAGCACCACACACACTGAGTTAATTGAGAGTGCATGCGCTGGCAGGAGAAGCTACGAATGCAAGCCTGGAGACCTGTGTGAGCTGGCTAACCCGTGTGAGGGCACCTGTGTAACTCTTTGCATTTTCATCTGTAGGGTGGAGGCAGTTTTCACCTCTGGTGTTTTCATCTGTGTTAAGTCTAATTTTTTGTGTGTGGATTAGTGCAATGTCTAAACAGTAAAATCAATATAAATGGTAGTTACTGCTAGTGTTATTTTATGCTATATTTTAATAAAGTACTTGATAGAATTTTGTCATCATTTTTGCTAAATTTACATTTATTATTTTTTTCTTAACAAATGCTTATTTTATGTGAATGTTTGTGCCTGTTTATGTGGGCCACATGCTTACAAATGCCTGAGGAGGCAGAGGAGGGTGTCAGATCTGGAGTTGTGGGTGGCTGTGAGTATTCTGGGTGTGAGAGACAGAGCCCGGGCTCTCTGAAGAGCAGCAGGTGCCCCCAGCTGCAGCCATCTCTCCAGAACCTGCTCTCTCCTTCCTTTGCCTCCATCTTATCCTTTTAATTTTCCTCCTTCTTAATTCTTGGTAAATACACAATGTGACTTTTTTTCTAACCTAATAGTAAAATTTGAGAATTGGAAAAAGAACTAATATTCATTTGTTCATTAATTTATTCCCAAAATTTTATTGATCATGTCCTATTTTGTAGCCACTGAACAAAGCACTTAAAGTGATTCCAAGCTGCTGCATAAGACAAGAGATAGCGTCTACATTCAGACTAGAACACAGAAACCTTGTGTTCATAGAAGCATGCACATCCAGGGTTGTAGGGAGGGATTCCATCTTCAGAGACTTAGGGATGGTCCCTTGGAGGACGTACAATTTAATTCCAGTCTCAAAGAGGGTGAAGGCAGTCTGAGGAGTGGGTCAGATTCCTGCAGAGTTCTAAAACTCTGTCTAGGAATGGGACATATTTCCTGGGTATGGGATAGAAACTGTGTATAGAGGGATAAATAGTGTGAGGCACACCTGGGGAGGACTTGGCATCCCATGGGCAACTTACTGTAGGGTGAGGGATGAGATGGGTTTGACAGGAGTAGAGAGCAGTGAAGACTTTACAGGAGGGAAGGAGTTATATCTTAACCATAGGTACACTGTTTTTGATGGATTGTTTATTTATAGACAGGTCTTAGTATGTTAACAAAGGCTAGCCTTGAACTCTTGGTCTTCCTCAGCTTCTCAAACGCTGAGATTATAAATGCTACCTACCATATCCATCTGGGTATATACTGTTGAGGACTTTATGACTCTGTGTATGGATGGATTGAGTATGGAGACAGCTAAACAGTCACGAGTACTTTGATGTGTCTAGTTACTACGTAGGATATTAAGTGTGGGTTACTGGATATGCAGAAATACAAGAGATTGACAAGCCTGGTGTATGCTTGGTCATCGGGGCTGGGGCATGCTGTCTTCTTTCGGAATCCATGTAGAGTGTGAATTGTGAGTCAGTCAGTCCTCATTCAGTTCTCATGGCAATGCAGTAGCGTCTTCTCAATGGGAAACTTGATCTTGGGGCGCTCAAGAGACATCGCTACCACCCTCTCCTGGCCAGACCTCTCTTTCAAACCCTCTCAGTGCTGTCTTAGTTTTCTTTCGCCATTGCCTCCTGCCTTGGCCCTCTTGTCAGCCCGCCTTGTAAAGGTAAGGAATGGAGAGAACCATCTATGAATGTGACTCCACTCCCGCCCCGCCCCAGGACTCTTTAGTGTTTTGCTTTGAATTTTCTCTGCAAGGGTTGGATGTCAATTGCCATCAGCTTACACTGTGAGTCCCAGGGACTGGCCTGCTTCTGAGGCTGTTTTTAGGCAGCAAATACATCATCGGATCAGTGAGGTGTCAACAGCAGAATGACTGCATCTAGGCCGGTCTACTGCTAGCATTTCCAAAGATAGCCTTCAAAACAAGACTCTGCAGTTTAAAACTGAGCTTGCCTCTGCCTTTGGCATCCAGGATAAGCAGATTACTAAGCTGGTTATTGAGTCACATCTAGAAAGAAGCCAGTGCCTGTGTGGAAGAGAGGAGCTGCAGCAGCAGGTGCACTGGAAGGCTTCAGTTGTCCCCAAATAGCGCCCCGCTGAAATGCAGGTTACAACGTTTTCTGTGGTGATGGAATATCTTTCCACTCCCTAAATACTGCTTTTTCCTTTTGTATGTATACAGGAACTTGACAAAGAACTCCCAGTGCTGAAGCCATATTTTATCAGTGACCCCGAAGAAGCTGGAGTGACGGAGGCTGGCTTAAGAGTCACATGGTTGGGACATGCAACCGTGATGGTGGAAATGGACGAGCTCATATTCCTTACAGATCCCATGTTCAGTTCCCGGGCTTCCCCCTCGCAGTACATGGGTCCGAAGCGATTCCGCCGGCCCCCGTGTACGATAAGCGAACTCCCCCAAATAGACGCTGTCCTTATCAGTCACAACCACTACGACCACCTGGACTATGGCTCTGTCCTCGCTCTGAATGAGCGCTTTGGCAGTGAGCTGAGGTGGTTTGTGCCTCTGGGGCTCCTCGACTGGATGCAGAAATGTGGCTGTGAGAACGTGATTGAGCTGGACTGGTGGGAGGAGAATTGTGTCCCGGGCCATGATAAAGTCACCTTCGTCTTCACGCCTTCCCAGCACTGGTGTAAAAGGACCCTCATGGACGACAACAAGGTTCTGTGGGGCAGCTGGTCTGTGTTGGGGCCTTGGAATCGATTCTTTTTTGCAGGGGATACTGGATACTGCCCTGCGTTTGAAGAGATAGGAAAGAGGTTTGGTCCCTTTGACCTGGCAGCTATTCCCATTGGAGCTTATGAGCCAAGGTTTGTAAACGAGTCCTGATGCGGTGTGATTGTGACTTCAGTGGCGGCTTGGTGTGCATTGGTGCAGGCTGAAGTTAGACTTGTATTCTATTGTATATCGAGGTGTGAAGAACTGGGCTGGGCCCTTGTGGCTCACTCGTTTCATCTCTGTGAGTTTGAAGCCATCCTAGAAAACTAAAAAAAGAATTTCTGTACCTTGCCAGAGCTCACATTCCTTCCTGCTTACTAGCCAGTACCCGAACTGACCTCTGTTCCTCACACGGGGGATTCTTTCTGCAGATGAGTGTCTCCTCTGCCTTGTGATTGGGAATTTCCAGTCCCCCTCCCACCGCCGTATGCTCAGCATTTATTTGAGAGCACTTAAGGGCTCCGCTGTCAGTGAAGACCCAGAAGACCCAACTACTGTCTGTTGTACTAAATGCTGTCTCTTTAAGAAGAGATGCGATTTGTGATCTCAAGCACGGTAGCAAAGTGGTCTAGGATGCTGGCTTCCTGGCTAACGTGTGGGCAGAATGGATTAGCATGTAAGGCACCCACTAATCAGGGTAATGCCTGAAGCCCCGAGTTTGATCCCTGTAATAATTCTCTTTCTTAAGAAGGTGGAGAGCAGTAGAGCAAAACAGCTCATGTTGACCTCGGGGCTGCACATGCCCTCACACACATGCCCTTACACATGTACACACATACATGCCCTCACACACATGTGCACATACATGCCCTCACACACATGCGCACATACACGCACACACACATGCACACATACATGCTCTCACACCCATGCGCACATGCATGCACACACACATGCACACATACATGCACACACACCCATGCATACATACATGCCCTCACACCCATGTGCACATACATGCACACACATGCACACATACATGCACACACACATGTGCACATACATGCACACACCATACATTCCAGGTTCTCCTGCACTTTTCACAGCGTGCAGACACATGTAGTCACTCAGCAACCCCGCAAGCATTGTGTCTCCAATACAAGCAGTATGCCTATAATCTCGACAAGGCTGCAGACTCACTTGCAGAGCGGTTTGTACACAGAGTGATGGACTGGGTAAATCTAATACGTTATTTTCTATCTGCTCATCTGTCAGTTTTCTTTTTTCCTCTTTTTGTGACGGGATTGAATCCAGAGCTATATCCCTGCCCAGTCAAATTCCTTTGTTAACCTTTAAGTTCACCAAGCCATTTTTCTTGTCCTTATTAACATTGATTCTTTTATTTATTGACTTAGCTTTACTTATTTCCTTATTGTGGGTGGGTTTAGATACTTCTACCTGTTTGTGTTCTTACTAATTATTAAAACTGTCATCACTTGCCAGAGAGGTGTCACATGCCTCCAAACTCCACAACATAGAGGTTGAGGCAGGAGGATCTGTTCCAAATAACCACCCCCACCCCCAGACCACCACCCCCACCACAGATCACCCCCACCACAGACCACCACCCCCACCACAGACCACCCCCACCACAGACCACCACCCCCACCACAGACCACCACCTCCACCACAGACCACCCCCACCACCACCACCACAGACCACAACAGAGATTATTATAAGTCAGTATTAGTGTTTGAATTTTACTTTTTCCATTCAAATTATTCCAGTTCTCATGAAACTTCTGAAAATATCAATCAACATGGCTCTAAAAAACTGTCACAAATCATTTTCAAATGGTGTTGGCTTTTACTCAGCGGAGTATCTCTCTGTTGTTACAAAAACAAGCTTTCCTGGGGCGGGCATCATACGTGTTTAGTATGTATGTCTGGGTGATGGCACAAACTGCATGCTCACAGCCTTGCCCCCTCTCCGCAGAATTCATTTCAGGTAAACAAGCTAGAAATGAAGTAGGATTTGCAGGGGGATTATTTAATAGACGAGTAGACACACCACGACTGTGTCCGTTCTGCCTTCACTCCCAAGCATCAGGACCTAGGCAGAACGCTGCTCCTGTAGGCTGGCTTTGGGATTCCCAGACGCCCAGCCACTGCTGTTGTAGGTGAATGGACTTTGGTGATGAGTTCTGGGAGAGGCAGAGCACCCACACCTTTATTCTCTCTAGCATTGGTTGGTAGTGGCAAACTAGGATGTAAAGAATACGAAGAAAATGTTTCTCCTCAGCCAGACTAACAGCTTGGAAAGTAAAGCCTGCATGTCCTTTGTACAAAACAACTCATTTTTCCTGAAGATGGTGCTCTTGTTAACTTTCCTGAAAGGGGTCAAGGGATAGGTGCTGCGTTTAACATTTCACAAGCTGCCTCGTTTAGCTTCCTTTATACGGCGGATCAAAGCTTATACCTTGCAGACGTGGAAACGGAAGCTGCGGGACTTGAGAGGTCTTTCCATTCCAACCACTTGGGACTCGGGCTCCAAGCTGTTAGCCAGTCTTCAGGGCCTTGTTAGCCATAGTCACCGTAGTCTTTGCCTAACCAGCCTCTCATTGCTCAGTTTTAGAATGTTTAAACAAAAGCCTTGACTGGCAGTGGGGCTTTCTGTTCCTTTGTAGATTGTACACTGTTTATTTTTGAGAGATAATGTAGTCCAGCCTTGAGTTTGGGATTCTCATGTGGAATGACAGAGTTACAGTGTATGCCGTGGTTCCCTGCTTTGTTTGCTAACTCTTTGCTTGATTTCCTTTGGTTAGTCTGTGTCTGTAGGGTACCTTGTTGGACGGTAACTGGAGCTTGGGGTCCCATTCTTTACCCATTATTACATTTCTTTGATTCATTCAGAAAATTGCAGAGTGTCTGCTTTTTAAAGTGGTAAGTCATGCTTTTAAAACACAGCCTAAGTACAAATCAAAGTAAACATGAAGTAAAGCTTGAGATTCACTTGTTAGCAATTTATGCTCACACACAATTTTGCTTTTTTGCCCCAGAGAAAAGTGTACCAAAGGAAGGGGTTTTACTAACTGTGAATGGATTTTACTTCTGTTTAGAATCTTGATAGTTATTTACATGTATCTTAAGATTATATTCAGTATTTATTTATTTACTTATTTTGAGGTAGCATTTCTTTGTGTATCCCTGGCTGCCCTGGAACTTTCTCTGAAGACTAGGCTGGCTCTAACTTTCTGCCTCCCAAATGCTGGGATTCAAGGCCTGCACCACCATGCCTGACATAAGATTTCACTCTTAGTACTTATGGAACTTATGGAGAATTGTGTGTCTGTGTGTGTGATGCCATGTGTTTGGTACCCACAGAGGTTAGAAGACTCCCTTAGAGCTGGAGTTACAAGCCACTATGAGCCACCTGAAGAGGGTGCTGGGAGCTGAACTCAGCAGCAAGGCTGGGAGACCGTCTCTCCCGCCTTGCTTGTTTTCTTATAGTCCTGGCCTGCCTCCAGACTGAGGGTCTGGTTCATTCATCACTGCTTGTGTCCCTTCCCTGTGATTCTCATTTCTGGCTGCACAAGCCTAATGCCTGGGTCCCAGCCCAGAATAGTTACATTACAATCATGGAGTAACTTTTTATTGTACGTTTTCTGAATCAGCTCCATGTGGATTTCAGGGCTGAAGAATGGTTGAAAGATTGTTGCTACATTTACAAGCAATTGGGTGAAGTTCTTAGGAGTACTGACATAAAGTCATCTGAAGCACTAGGGAGATGCTGAAAAAAAATCACAGTGAGATGCTAAGCTTTCAAATGTTCATAATCCTGTGAAGAATATTTTTCCCTTAAATTCTATTTTCATTTATGCACATATATATGTGTGCTTGTGCATGTGAGTATAAGTGCCCAAGGATGTCATATAAGGACATTGGATCTCCAGGCAATGTGAGTTGTCTCATGTGGACACCAGGAACTGGACTCAGGTCTTCTGCAAGAGTAGCGTTTGCTCTCAGCTGCATAACGGTCTCTCCAGACATGCAGACTGTTAAATGTCGATATATGAAACAGTCATTTGAGTTTAGGCTGTTTTCAAATGTTGAATTAATTGCTGTGTTCCATCAGGTGGTTTATGAAATACCAGCATGTAGACCCAGAAGATGCCGTAAGGATTCATATTGATGTTCAAACCAAGAGATCTGTGGCAATTCACTGGGGAACTTTTGCCTTAGCTAATGAGGTAAGTTTGAGTTAAACAAACAGAAACTTGAGCTTTGATTGTGTGTTTGACTGTTGGTGGGATTTAGTTTTCTCTGTGGCCTGGCTTTCAGAGACCACTGTGGACTCAAAGTCCATACAGTCATCACAGCCACCACATAAACTGGAGGGGCAAAGCGTACCTCCTCGTAAGATAACACTTGAGAACAGTGTGTCCTGCTTCTTAGGCTGGTTTCCGTAGTTAATGAGCATGTGCTTATCCAAAATGTGTGTGTGGCGTAGACAATGAACCATCACGTCTCCACATTCCAGATGGCTTCTGTTCTAGTAGAAGCTAGAAGACACGGACATCGTTTGTATACTAGAAGGTGGAAGTTCTATAATGTGGGACAGATTAATTGGTCTCAAAGACAGGGAGAGATCAGGAATCACTTTATGGAAGAAGGTAATTTTACCTTGGCCACAGGCAAGAAGAAAGTATTTATTTCCAGAGGAGGAAAGGACAGAGCATAGTTTTGGGGCAGTAAACATGGGGAAGGGAGGAGTTTGTTCAGCAGGAGAGTGGGTAGTGTGCAGGGCAGTGGGAGGAGAGGACTAGAATGTGGGGCTTTCAAGAAACATCGCACCCATTTAGTTAACTTCAGTGATTGTTATCTCCAGACACTGGGGTAAATGTGGTTTATTTATATCAGAAGAGCTGACTCTTCCTCAGGGAACTGATGTCGGGGCTCTGCTGCTGGCATGGGTTCTGGGATCAGGAAGTCTAGCAGTGTCATCGCTTCATTCCTGGGTCCAAGCCCAGGCAATGTTGAGAAAGGGGTTAGAAGTTTTCCCTGCTTGGTTGTTGGTGACCGTTTCTGTCACAGGGCACCTCTGGAGACCCTGTGTTTCCTTGTGGTTTTTAACACTCTTACTCTGCTTTGTTTCTGGTGTGGTCTCTTCCTAAGATACAGTTTGTTACAAAATTACCTAATGGGTGCAATTTTCATTTCCCTGTCCCCTGACTGAAATGTCTATCTTATGATGCAATAGCCCTGAGTAATGCAGCAGCTTTTCACCCATGCTGCTGGAGGTGTCATGGAGTAATAATGAAAACCTACAGATCTGGGAGGAAGGCATGTCCATCTGAAGTAGATCTGGGAGGAAGGCGTGTCCATCTGAAGTAGATCTGGGAGGAAGGCGTGTCCATCTGAAGTAGATCTAGGAGGAAGGCATGTCCATCTGAAGTAGATCTGGGAGGAAGGCGTGTCCATCTGAAGTGGATCTGGGAGGAAGGCGTGTCCATCTGAAGTACATGTGTGAACTTGGGAAGGGGTAAACTGTCATATTTACATATTTACATGCTGCTATTTGAAGGCTGCTTCTTATGACGTCTCTACCTGTTTGTGTGTGGGAATGCTCCGTATGTATCTTCTGTGGTGACTTAGCTGGAATGGTAGTATGCTGTTAACCCTTTGTAAAGGAAGAAGTGAAGACTCAGCTTCAGTGATTGGGCAGACAGCAGTGCTCCTTCCTGAGATGGGGAGATTAGGAGATGATCGAGCCTCAGCCATCAAGAATCATTTCACAGCCAGGCAGTGGTGGCACACACCTTTAACTCCAGCACTTGGGAGGCAGAGGCCAGCCTGGGCTACAGAGTAATTCTTCAGGACAGCCAAAGCTAAATAGAGAAACTGTCTCAGAAAAGAAACAAAAAGGAATGATTTCACTTGTCTTAGTTAGCTTCTCTATTGCTGTGAAGAGACACCATGACCATGCAACTCTTGTAAAGGGAAACATTGAATTGGGACTGGCGTGCTGATGGGGGTTGCCTTTTGTATATGTTTCTCTTATTGGTTGATGAATAAAATACTGATTGGCCAGGCAGAAAGATAGGCGGGGCTAGGAAACAAAGAATCTTCTGGGAAATGTAGTCAGAGAGGAGTCGTCATGTGAGCCAGGGAAGAGAGTGCGCAAGTGAGGCGTTCTCCGATAATATAAGGCCATGTAGAAATACCTAGATTAGTAATTATGGGTTAATAATTAAGACAGAGCTAGCCAATAAGAAGTCCAAGCCACAAACCAACAATTTCATAATTAGTATAGTGTCTGTGTGTTCATTTGGGGCAGGGCGGCTTCGGAACCGGGTGGGAAATCCCGTAACAGCTTACAGTTTTAGAGGTTTAGGACATTACCATCACAGTGGGATATGGCAGCATGCAGGCAGGCACGGTGCTGGAGAAGGAGCTGAGAACTCTACATCTTGATCCACAGGGGGCAGAAGGAGACTGTGTACCACACTGAGTATAGCCTGAGCATAGGAGACCTCTAAACCCACCCCCACAGTGACACATCCCAACAAGGCCACGCCTACCCTGACAGGCCACATCTCTAACGGTGCCTCTCCTTCCGGGCCAACCATCAAACACACCTGTTCCAACCACCACATTACTACTTAGCCCGTAAGAAACATGCTTGATGGCTCTCAGGAAGACTGCAAGTCTTCTGCTCTGCACAGCACGTGGCAAGCCACCCTGGGCTACTTGAGTACAGTACGTATCAGTGCCAAAAATCTCAAATGAAATAAAACGTCAGAGGGAGATTTGTTCGAGCTGTTCCTTCATCTTTCTTTCTTTCTGAGGCCCTTAATAACAACTCGTCTTTTCTTTAACTCTTTTGTAGTTACCAGTTTACACAACTAACACAAAAGTGTGAAAATCTGTGGGATTTCAGAGTGTTTAGCCTATAGTTTCAAAATATTTAGTATTTTGTATAAGCACTTGAAATAGCTGCTCATTGTGATATAAGCAGGATACAGATGTCTGTAACTCAACAGCACCCTAAAGTTTTGTATGTGTGGTATGAGCACTATTATCTAACTTTCTAAATAAACCACTCATTTTGAAGGAGCATTCTGTAATTATGTAAGCTAGCGTGCTAGCCCACCGGGGTTGAACTGCGACTAGATTCTGTTGGAAGTGAGCTGTTGAGCAGTTGTCTGGGGCTGGCTGCCTGGCATTGGATGGACCCTGCATACAGGGCCTTCTCCCTCCCCGTACCTGCCTCTCATTCCACTCACTTGCTTCCATGACCGTGAGCGCTTTTCTTCTTTGTGCTTGGATTCTAAGAAGCCAAATCTAAGTCACCCAGAAGCTTTCTCGCCTTATTCTAAGGCCAGTCTCTAGATGATTAGAATAGCCAAGAATTTACCTATAGAAAAACTCAGATGTTGCAAAATGTAGATAAAGAGAGCTACAGCCTTATAAAAATGCACTAAGTTCTCAATGGCATCATGCTTGACATTGTGAAGTTAGAGCTGGCAAAGAGGTTATGAGTGTAGGTGACTGTGTATCTGCATTGGGAAACTTAATAGGAGCTACGGTTTTGTTTAAGCTTTTTATTTTATGCAATCACTCCAGTTCCCTTCTCTTCCCTTCCCTTCCGTCCCCCCACACTCCCCCTTTCCACCCCCAGCCACTCCTCTGATGGGGTAAGGGTTTCCTTGGGGAGTCAAAGTCTGGCATTCCAAGTTGAGGCAGGACCAAGTCCCTCTCCCCTGTATGAAGGCTGAGCAAGGTTCCCACCATAGGGAATGGATAAGTCTTGATCCCCCACCCTGCCCCATAACTGTCACCAGTATTCAGAGGGTTTAGTTTGGTTCCATGCAGGTTCCCCAGCTGTCAGTCCAGAGTCCGTGAGCTCCCTAGCTCAGGTCAGCTGTCTCTGCGGTTCCCCATCATGACCTTGACCCCCTTGCTCATATGATAAGGAGCTATTTTTCATTGGGGAACAATTTCATTATTTTAAAGGTTTTAAAAATAAATGTAATTTATTTTAGGGCTATATGTGCTACACAGTATACAATAACATTTGATGTATACGTATAATATTATACATATATTAGACAAACAATAGATTCCTGCCGCCTGCCATCCATTAATGAGAGGTTCCATAAGGTTTGGTTACAGCCTTATTTATTTAGCAGTGAGTTGAGTGCTGTCAGTGATCCTTTCACCACCGCCACCGTGTGGAATGAGCAAGGCGGACAACATCCGCGAGTGCACTGAAGTGCCAGGGAAAGTCGCCTGGCCTTTGTGTCCCGCTGGCCATCTGATCTCACTATTGCTGGTCCTTCTCTCCTTGCGAGTACTGAGTGCAGCAGGCAGCAGTCCTGCCCACAGTCCTGCCATGAGGAGATGCGGCTAGCACTCTGCCTGGGCGACCGGAGTGTTTCCTAGACTCAGCTCGTATAGCTGGGATCTCATGCCACAGGAAAGAATTTCAAGCTAAGTCAGAACTTCAGACACTCAGTGTTAGGAAAGAGTGAAGGCCAAGGGCAGACTCTGAGTGCAGTTAAAGAGGCTCAGTAGTATTATTAGAAGGGTGTAAATATGGAAGCTTTTGGCTTTAGGCGCGGTTCATTGGCCATTTTATTCTGTGTGGGGTGTTGCTCAGGAGAGCGGGAGTGATAGCCAGGCAGGCAGCCTGTATCGTGAATCTATTAGTTGTGTCTAGAGTTTTCCCTCTGCTGGTGGGAAAGCAGACTGGGTGCTGGTGAGAGAACTCTCTCCCTTCCCCATGTGTCTGTCCCCTTTGCTCTCCTGCTTCCTGCCCTCTGCTCTTACCTGTCCAGCCCAGGTCCCCAGGTCCTCTCCTCCAGTGGCATTTACATGTGAGCTGTCTCCTCCAGCTGGAGCCTCCTCCACCCACCCTCACAGAGGCTCAGTCTTCACTTTACACATGTCCCCTACAGTCAGTCCCCAGCACCGTCCAAGACCTCTACAGTTGGAATCACACCAGGACACATCCGGGGTGGCCTCATGTTTGGGGTGACAGTCTCTGCTCTGAGATCACCTGCACCACCCTCAGCAGCCTTGCCTACTGGTATGTGTTAGAGGCTGCTTTGTTGCAAGGGCTTCTTCCATGACGGTACTTAAAACAAGCCTCATTTCCAGCACTTTCTTCTTCCCAGAACATATTAAGTCCTCAGATATCTTATCTCCTTTCATGTCTATCTCTGTATCAGAAAAGTAAAGACTTTTG